CCAGTAGTAGGAGGAGTTGTGCATGCATTATATTAACTAATCCTCATAAATCATTCTGGGGAAGGTTCTATTCACATCTGCATTTCACGAGGGATAAAACTGAAATTAAGTTAATCTCCAATAGGGGGCTGGGATGTGGCTCGGCACTTAAGCACTTACCTTGCTCGTATGAGGCCCTACATTCAATTCCCATTATTGCCAAAAAATAAAATCTCTAAAAATGTTATATATACAAGCATGCATAATCTGGCAGAGCTAACATTCTAATCCCAGTATTATTTCTAATTAATGAATTAATTTTATTTCTATGCCTCCCCTTCACTTTGTTGTTGTTGATGTTGTTACGGTGACCAAAGTTGGCACACATGCCTTGCCTGTGGCTCCCACACTCTTAACTGTGATGCTTGCCTAGGTTGCAGTGCTCACACACTCAACCACAGTACTCATCTGGGTTTGCAACCTGTTAGTGGAGATGCTTTCGTATGCTGGCCAGAGTGTTTTTACTCTTAGATGAGTCACACAAGTTATGATTGTTGTGCTCCCTGAGATTCACCATGGTGCTCACATACATGCTCATCAGAGATCATGCTTTCTCATGTTTGTATATTGTTTTAGTAAAGGAAAGTAAAAACCACACCTGTGATTGTGATGTGAAATCAGACATCACTGTGGTGCCAGGGATCACAAACAGCAGAGCTGCCAAGTTTCCACTTGGGACATGTGGTACACTGGGGTTTAGAATTTGTGATCAAGACTTCCTTGATCACAATCACTGCACTATTACCCTGATCGCTAATGCCAACTTTAAATGTTACTCCTTAGTAGGAAAGAACTCCATATAGCCCAGTTATACCACTTCTTGGTATCTATCACAAAAACATTAATTCAAAAGAATGTATGCATACTAATGCTGATCAACACATTTAGTACAATAGTTAAGACATGTAAACAGCCCAGAGATCCAATAATGGATAAATGGATCAAGAAATTGCGGTATAAATACACAGTGGAACACTACGTAGCTTTAAGAAAGAACAAAATCATGCAATTTGCAGCACCACGAATGGAAATAGAGAATAATATGCTGAGTGAAGTCAGTCAGAAAGAAAGGGCTAGATACAGAATGATCTCTTATATGTGCGACTTAAAGAGATACAAAAAGGTAGCAACAAAAGTCCAAAGGCAGTACAATAAAAGAACTAATCCAACAATTGAGTTCAGGGGTAGGAGTCCTTGGGGGAGGAAGGTGGGTAACTGACACAGGTATGGTATTGATATTATGTATATAGGGAGCCACCAATAACAGTATTGTAAATTATAGAACTTCAATCAATAAAAATAAATTTAAAATAAAACAAAATAAATGTGACTGTAATAACTGCCTTTTGGAACATAGCTCAAAATCTGTCTTTAGAATCAATCAATTATACATTAATTCAAAGAAGGAAATAAAAAATATTTTCAGGTAACATTTGATGTGGGTATTATGGTACCTTTGCCAAAATTCATAGTGATCCATTACAAGCTGGTACTCATGAACCATGCATTTTCCTCTAGTATATCTATCTTAGCTCATTAAAGTTTCACAGCAACCTTATGAAGGAATTAATATTCCCATCTCTTCGATGACAAAATTGTCTAAATTATTTATGAAATTCCATGTAATCAGTAAAAGCAAGCTAGGACTTGCTTTTTAGTCAGTCTTTATCACTGGCTTATGAATTCTTCCAAAAGCAGTTGTGTAAGAAGAGAAACATCCATTCTGTAGTTGAACCATTGAGAAAGGCAAGGTTTAGTAACATGTGTGAAGAGATGAAATCTTCTTAACTTCTAGTACAGAATAGATTCAAACTAATAGGACCCTAACTAAGAGAAATAGATAGTAAAGGAACATAGCCATTTTCCTCACTCCCTCCCTCTGTTCCTCCACCCCCTCCTTCTCTCTCTTTCCTTCTTTCTTTCTTTCTTTCTTTCTTTCTTTCTTTCTTTCTTTCTTTCTTTCTTTCTTTCCTTCCTTCCTTCCTTCCTTCTTTCTTTCTTTCTCTTTCTTTCTTTCTTGCCTTTTTTCTTTCTCTGTCTTTTCTTCTTTCCTTCCTTCCTCCCTTCCTTCTCTCTCTTTTTTCTTTCTTTCTTTCTTTCTGTCTGTCTTTTCTTCCTTCCTTACTTCCATCCTTCTTCTTTCTTTCTTTCTTTCTTTCTTTCTTTCTTTCTGTCTTTCTTTCTTTCTTTCTTTCTTTCTTTCTGTCTTTTCTTCCTTACTTCCATCCTTCCTATCTTTTTCTTTCTTTTTTCTTTCTTCTTTCTTTCTTTCTTTCTTCTTTCTTTCTGTCTTTCTTTCTGTCTTTTTTCTTCCTTCCTTCCTGCCTTCCTTCCTTCCTGCCTTCCTTCGTTCTTCTTTTTCTCTCTCTCTTTCTTTCTTTCTCTCTTTCTTTCTTTCTCTTTCTTTCTTTCTTGCCTTTTTTCTTTCTCTGTCTTTTCTTCTTTCCTTCCTTCCTCCCTTCCTTCTCTCTCTTTTTTCTTTCTTTCTTCCTTTCTTTCTGTCTGTCTTTTCTTCCTTCCTTACTTCCATCCTTCTTCTTTCTGTCTTTCTTTCTTTCTGTCTTTCTTTCTTTCTTTCTTTCTTTCTTTCTGTCTTTTCTTCCTTACTTCCATCCTTCCTATCTTTTTCTTTCTTTTTTCTTTCTTTCTTCTTTCTTTCTGTCTTTCTTTCTGTCTTTTTTCTTCCTTCCTTCCTTCCTTCCTTCCTTCCTTCCTTCCTTCCTTCTTCTTTTTCTCTCTCTTTCTTTCTTTCTTTCTTTCTTTCTTTCTTTCTTTCTTTCTTCCTCTTTTCCTTTATTAGGGTTGGGAACTACCCTAATACAGCAGTGCTTAGTGCTTACTTCTGCCAAAGCACAAGGGTCATGCCATGCTGGAGATGAAACCCAGGTCTCCAACAGGAAAACTATGCATTCTGGTCCATTGAGCTATCCCACTGGTCCCACTGAGCTCTCTCTCTCTCTTATGGGCCTTTAACTTTTGGATAAATCAAATATAGTGGATTCTCTGATGTGAGCTTCGTCATTCTCCAGTCCCTAGAAATAGCAGTAGATTGGTAAGGCTCAAATCACTGTCAAAATATTGTGATTCCTAAAGGAGCAAAGAATTAAGCAGGACCTCAGATAGTACCTTACTAGAACAGGGTACAGTCCTGCCTGAGAATGCCTCATGCACAGCATCACATATAAGACAGGGAGAGCCTACTCAGAACAAAGCCAGGTCCAAAGAGAAGGAACAGACTGTCTTCTGGGAAGGAGTTTCTTGTCATAGAGAAACATTTTCTTTCTGGCACTTTCTGAGATATGATATCACCGGGCCTTCTGTCTGGCCTGTATGTTCTTCTCATCACGTTCATTTCACTTTCTCCCACATGAATTCTCTTGTACCTTCTTTCAACAACTATTACATAGATTTTGGAGTCCAGAGGCTTCTGATTTATTTCTTAGAAGGTGAGTTCTAAGATAAAAGAAGGAAAAATGTTGACTCAATAATTCATGTCCATATCAAAAATTCCTATCCCTTCCAGATGAATGATTCCAGTTAAACAGATAAATCGATGAGCTGTTGATTCACTGAAAAATATGACCAGTTCTATAATCAACATGTAAATAAGAGCAAACTAGATACTCTAAAGCTATTTTCCCCTCTTTACAGAAAAATCTCCTGTATACCCATAGCTTTAAACACCATCTTTATTTATTTAATGCATAAATATTTATTTCCTCCTCAGAGCATTATGTCACCAGCATAACATATACCCTTGATATTCAAGTCTTCTCAAATTCAACTATCCCAAATTTAGATCTTTATCTCCTTTTCTCAAATCTGTTTTCCAAATCTTAACCAATATCACCAAAGATATTTACAACCAAGCAAACCAGACCAAGGTCCAGGCCTTTTTCTGATATAACCATTTTCACTCTACCCATTTATCCTAACATTAAAAGGAAGTCTCCATGTTACCTTCTAAATGTTTTTTGAATAAAACTACATTTCCCTCCAAATCTACCACCTCCCCTGAAACCAGGAGACATGAGGTCCAAGGAATTGAAATAAGGGACCTTCAATCTTTCAAGCTATTTCCTCTTCCCAGACCCCAGAGTCATATTCTTAGCGTGCATGAGAGTGTGACCAGTTGGAGAGGCGTGGAAAGAGCTAGAAAGAGCTAGACACAAGGATGAGGAAGTTAGCACTGTGAGTTCTGCAGCAATCAGCACAAAGGTTTAAGGTCATTAAAATTTTTACTGGACATAAGGAGTTAGAGGAAGAGGAAAGCTCAAGTCAGAGTGGGAGGCAAGGAAACAGGGAGAGAAGGAACACAGAGGCTGGGATAATCTAATGCACAGGGCTTAAAAGGAAGAAGCAGAGCTTTTTACAGAGACCTCAGAGAGAGAAAAAAAATATTGAGGAGTAAGTAGTCCCATTAATAAGTAAGGAAGGCAAAATAAATCAATGAAGATCTTTCAGTGACTGAATTCCTCAACTTGCATTTTAAAACTGGATTTTATGCCGAAAAGTGAAGTGGAAGAAGTTCGATGTGTGGAGTTGGAGAGATAGAGGGTAAGACACTTGCCTTACAAGTGGCCAACCAGGATTTAGTCCCAGGTATTACATATGCCCCCCTGAACCCACCAGAGGTCATAGAGCCAAGAGTAACTCTGAGCACAGCCAGGTGAGGCCCAAAATCAAAATACAAAAGCAACATCAAAAGAAGTAGAGTGAGACCTTGCTCTGAGTTATGGAAGGAAGATGTAAACAGGAAAAGGAGTCTCTTTACCTGAGTTACCAACTATGTAGCATAAGTAAAAAGCTTCGTAAACTAGTAGGGGAGGTCTATGCAAAAAGTAGTGATTGCTAGAATTTTTGCTACCCTCTCTCTCATGTCACCTGGAAGGAAAAGGACCAAAGATGAGGATGAAAAAGCTGCTTTGGTTCACCGCCTATATGGCTTTATATAGACTTTTTAAAAAATGGAATGCTTCACAAATTGCATATTATCCTGGTGCAGGTGCCATCCTAATCATCTATATTGTTCCAATTTTAGTGTATGTGCTGCCCCCAAAAGATCTATATAGGCTTTTAATCCATATCATTGATAATTAAGAACAATGTAAAGACTTTTATATAGGAGAGAGGCTTGATCAAATTTTGTCTGAGAAATATAACTTTAATAGCACCCAAAAAGGCTGGGTAAAACTAAAAGCAGAGAAGAATTTAAGGGCACTATTATAGGAGCAATGAGCAGAGGGAAATCTGAAAAACTCTGGCATGGACATGCACATAGGGAGAGACGACATGATTCGAGTCATATTAAGATCATGTCAGTTGCAACAGAGAGGCACATTAAGACACAGGCCAGAAATCATCTATTGGGTCTGACAATTAGGGAGGTCATTGGTGATCTTAGCTAGAGAGGTTATTGAGAATTAGTCCAAAGCCAGATTGAGTGTATTGAGGATAAAATAAATAATTAAGTTCCTAAGGTCCAAGTCTGAAGCGAAGTGCCAAAGAGGGATTCAGAGTGGAGGCTCCACCATTAACCCTAGTTGAGGGGCTCATATGTGGAAAAGCAGGTGAAGGCATACTACTGAGGAAGGGACAGGACAGAGCATGTGATACGACATTGGGAGGGTAGGTGTAGATTTCTCAGCCACGGAGACCTAAAGGTTGAAGGGATTTGTACTCAGTAGCTTCTGAGTTTCATTTTAAATTTTCTGTATAAGAGAAGGTGGATGGAGAGGTGACCGAAAGTCATTGGCTACAAATGAATAAAGAATTTTTGGACTCTGTCAAGAACCTGGGGGACACCGTAAGACAGAATGAACAATGAGACCTTTTCTCATATTTGGGCACATTATCTCAAGGACATTCAGCAACCCTGCTGTTGTTTTGGCCTCGATGTCCCACAGGCTTCCATTTTCTGAGCACTGCAGCTACCTGATATCCATTCTGGTGTCTGGGGAGATGGATTATCTGGGGCCAACCATGTCCATGTCACATGGTTCCACCTTCACAGATCTGAGAAGCCTTGGGACACAAGCATCTCTCATTAAGAAATTTAAAAGGAGATTTGAAAGTTCCCTTCTGCTCCTTTGTTAGCTCAGACTTTAAACTCAGAAGTCATTGATGATAGTCACTTTTTCCACCAGGACTGAGAAGGAAGTGCAATGAGAAGCTTAAGAATTTTCAGAAGCGAAAAGGAAACTGTAGATGATGATTCAGAGACTGGCTCCAGCTTCCTCTGTTGTTCCAGCCTGTTATTAGCTATTTCTACAGCTTTCTCAAAACTTGCTCTTAAAATGTTCATAAAACTGAAAAGTATTTTTTTCTCTTTGGTTAACTGTGGAAGAAGTTTGTGACTAGCAGTGCAAACACTCCTAGTAAAGTCAAGCTGTTTTATTAACTCTTAGATGACAGCATTTGCGAAGTTAGGCAGCTTGAGAGAGGAAGAAAGTAGCAGAAGGCATGGTTTAAGAAGTTGGTTAAAACCCAAGAATAGCCGAGATAAATACCAGGAGGTTTACTCCATGGCTTGGAGGCCAGCTGCACACTCTAGGGGTAAAGGGAGCTCAGATAGAGAAGAGAGCACCAAATAAAGGGTGTTGGGAAGATCCGCCCAGGATGGGAGATGCATGCTGAAACTAGACTATAGACCAAACATGATTGCCACTCTAAATTCCTCTTTTGCAAACCACAGCACCTAAAAGGAGAGAGAGAGAACAAAAGGGAATGCCCTGCAAGGGCAGGGTGGGATGGGGGGATGGGGGACGGGAGGGATACTGGGATTAGTGGTGGTGGAGAATGGACACTGGTGGAGGAATGGGTACTCGATCATTGTATAACTGAAACCCAAGCACAAAAGGTTTAAGTCTACAACTGTACCTCATGGTGTTTCACTAATAAAAGTTTAAAAAAAAAAGTTGGTCAGATTCTCCCAAGAGTCCAAGCAAATTTCATACTTTTACTCTAAAACATGGCCATATATCAGAATCAACTGGAGAGGAATTGCACAGTATCTTCACAGCCCTACCCCATCTTAGAATTTGTGTTTGTAGTGCAGAGTTAGAGAAGTGATTTAAATGAGCAACTAGTCCAGCCAGGATGGAACTCTAGACTGGCAAAAAAAGACATGAAAAGCCTTCAGAAAGAGCAGGTACTGAAGGACTGAAGGAAGGAAAGAGTTGTAGGAGAAAAGAGAGAAAAGGAAAATTACTAGAGATGGAGACAGACTTTATTTGTTTGTTTATAAACTTCCCAAATGATAGTCAAGGGGCCTGAGAGGCCTGATGATCAGTGATTCTTAGCTAATCTGGCCAGAGGTTCAAGGCAAGGACTTGAAAATGAGATGCTGCGTGGACTCTTCAGTGCTGAGGATACCCAGGCCACACTAGCAGTTCTGGCACCCTCCAGTCCTCCACCTGGTGATAATTAGAAGGCCATGTGGTGGGCAGAATCTAATCGAGTTTGGGCGCATGCTAGACATATGCCCTGACTGTTGTACTATCTCCTGGCAGAGATTGGACTTTTAGAAAGGGAACCTTATAGGACTAAGGAGACTTGAATGAATGACACTGGCAAGTGGAGAAAAAAACTGTGAAGCATAAGCCCCGGAGAGATCTGCTGCACAGATGTCACTCCCCACGAGAACCAAAGTGCAAACGGAGGGAAGAGTCTGCAAACTGGGGGTTCAGGGGTGACCTGGACCTCAGCAAAAAAAAAACTGTGAGAAAAGTTACATGGGTACATGGGGCTCACAATTCACTCTTCTATCTAACACATATTCTCACACGCTGGAGTTGTTTTTTTCATAGCGTACTTTTTGGGAAGTATTGAAACAGTGACCAAGGCTGTGACCTGGACTTGAACCTCACCTCCAACATCCCCTGCTGGTGTGGCCTGAGCGACCTCTTTTAGCTTGTTAAGTCAAAGTTTTTACAGATGTATAACCCAAGTGCTTTATAATGCATGCAAATTAAATAAGAAAATAAGTGCTCGATGCATGGTCTCTATTTTTTATTCATCGAAAGGGGTCACCAAGAGCAAAGTTGAATGTTTTGTTGCATGAGTTGGGAGAGAAGTAGAAAGATTTTTTAAAAATGTACAAAAGGGAGACAAAGAATAGAGAGTCTTTATTTTGGAAGTGACCGAGAAGGATGTGATGAGGGACATGGCAGGATCAACTCATCTAAAATTTCTTAAGGACACTTTATCTTCAATTTTTGCTATAACAAACCATCCCACATATAGTGTCTTAAGACAACACAGATGAATCTTATAATTCTGTGGGTTGAAATCAAAGTCAGGTCTCAAGGGGCTCAAATAAATCAAGGTATCAGCAGGGCTATGTTCTCTTCTAGAAGCTGTAGGGGGAAAATCTTGTTCCTACTTTTTCTTACATTCCTGATTTGTGGCCACCTTCCTCCAGGTCCACTGCGAGCAATCTTGTATCTTTTGGATGCCTTCTTCTAGCATGTCATTAAGCACAGCTGCGAATAATCTTTGCTGTTAAGGAGCCTTGTGATGACACCAGCCTATCCAGATAACCCAGGATCACCATCTCTGCCTCCATATCCTGAAGTGAATTACATCTGCAAGTCCCTTTTGCTATGCAAAATGACTATTCCTGGTTCTGAAATCAAGGGCTCTGCAGGCCATTATTTTGCCCATCACATGTCACATGTTGGGATACAGCCTCTGAGTGGAGCCTGCAGCCTCAGATCTCTGCTGGAGCATCAGAAGTATGAAGTAATATAGAGATCTCTGAGGGTTCCAGGTGAAATGAGTGCTTTGGATGTCATGTCCTGTTCTGCTCTAGGCAGAGGACATCTGGGTCAGGAAGAAAGATGCACTATAGTCAACCTGGTAGTCACCTCAGGGAAGAGCTTGGACTCACTGACAGCAGTGAGCAATTGACAGCTGGACTGGGCTTACCTGAGATAACACTGGAAATAAAGATGAATTAGCACTTGGCTTTGCTTGACCCACCTCCTCAAGAGGCACATCTGGCTCCTCAGAGACACACAAGAGTGCTACTGCTATAAGGATAACTTTTTGCACACCTTACTATTCTGCTCTCACCTAAATCCTGTAAAACTGAGTCTTCAGGAAACCACAGAAATAGTACAGGGGTTAAGAAACTTGCTTCACACATGGCTGGCCCTTGGTTAAGTCCCTTGCACCACATATGGCTCTGTCTCAGGGATCACTCCCCCAAGCACTGCCAGGAGTTATCCTTGAGCACAGAGCTAGAGGTAATGAGAAATACCTGATGTGGTTCAAAAACTACCAATCCCCCGCCAACCTCCCACACCACCACCACCAAATTTCTTTAATCGCTGTTATTTGGAAAGTATTGGATCTAACTCTTAAATATATAGCAAGGACAACTGTAGGATGACATTGGCTTGTCCTTTCTCTCTGCCACAAGAAGTTTAGGTTTACTAAGTAATACCTATCACAACAAGCTCCCTGTGGCATATTCGATATGCCAAAAATAGTAACAACAAGTCTCACAATGGAGACATTACTGGTGCCCTGGTGCCCGCTAGAGCAAATCGATGATGAACAATGGAAAGACAGTGCTATAGTGCTACCCATCACAATGCTCCTGAAGCACTTCAATTTCCTTGGTATACATCTTTAACATCTCTGTGCTCTGCTTCGTTTATCTGTTAACCACTCATTTCCCCTAAGCAGTACCTGTGACTTGTAAAGTCAAATTCCTCAGAAATCTCTGACTTTGTATTTGTCAGTAAAATATTGCTTTTCTCCTTCTCTTATGTCCTTCAGCATAGTTTACTTCAGCATAGTTTACTTCAGAGCAATATCCTTTTTGTATGGACACAGGAAAACAGTTAATACTAGCTTTTGTAACTTGGGAGTTATTGACTCCAAATAATATTCACTCCTGGGCCTCTGTTTTCTCAGCTTATGCCTCAATTGCCCTTGGTTCCTAGCACCCCAAAAGCAGGTCTTGATGAGGGACTGGATGGACCCAGGAAAAGCTGTGAGCTACCCTGGCATTGAAATGGGCAAGGCCAAGCACAATAATACTTAACTATAAGTTAA